GTGGAAGCATGCAGTGCTAAAGGCTCTCCACACAATATCTACAACACTGAACAATGTCCTGAGCTCATTCTGTTCATCTCGGGAGAAGCTTGTGATGATCATATTGAATTCTTACGAGGACATTTCCAGCATTATCCAGAAACTAATTTAATTCAACTTTGGTAATAACTATCCAGAATCTCTAATTTAATTTAACTTTGGTAATAATTGAGACAAAAAGTTTACCAAGAATAGCCAGTCTTTTCCTGAGCAGCTTCAAATGTTGATTTATGATTTTAACAAAAAGTCTAACATTATCAGCATGCTCCATCAGGGCTAATTATACAGGACTTAAAGTTCATTTCCTGTTTATGTTGGTCCAGTAAAGATAAGCTGCCCTGAGCACAGGAGGGAATGCCACGCTCCACAGAGCTCTCTGAGGCTTGTCCTTCTGTTACACTTTACACTTAGAAGTGGAAGTAGGAGCAGAGACTTTGCTCTCTGAAGAATACAAATCTGAGACTTAGGACACTGCAGAGACAGTGGGACTGAGGTCCACATCCTATATTCAGTTAACTAGATGGCTTTAATCTGTTTCCCTGAAGAATCAGATTTGAATTACTTTCATGCCTTTTTTTAAAGATGTATTTCTTTATTTTGTACACTGTGTTCTGGCTGCATGTAGGCCTGGCGCCCAGAAGAGGGCACCAGATCTCATTATGGATGGTTGTGAGCCACCACGTGGTTGCTGGGAGTAGAACTCAGGAAATCTGGAAGTGTACCCAGTCCTCTTAACCACTGAGCCATCTCTCCAACCCTTTTTATTGAAATAGATTCTCCTCTCAAACAATACATCCTGACCATAGTTTTCTTTCACTCCATTCCTCCCAGCTCCCACTTCCCATCTCTCCCCCAGATCCTCTCTCCCCCTCAGTTTTTCTTCAGAAGAGGGTAGGCTTCCAAGAGACAATAACCAAACACAACAAAACAAGTAACAATAAGACACAACGAAAGCCCTCATATGGAGACTGGACAAGGCAATCCGACAGTCCTAAAAGCAGGCAAAAAGAGTCAGAGATACACCAACTCCTACTGTTAAAATTCCCACAAAAACACCATAACATACACAGAGGACCTGGTGCAGAGCCATGTATACACCATGATTCCCACTTCAGTCTATGTGAGCCTATAGGAGACCTGCTTAGTTGATTCAGTGTGTCATATTCTCATGGTGTCCTCCATCACCCTCTGGCTCCTGTAATCTTTCTTCCCCCTCCAGGTTTCCCCAGTGCAGAGGAGAAGCACCCGACAGAGACCTCCAATGTAGACTGTCTTGCACAATGTCTGCTGTGGGTCTGCATCTGCTCCCATTTCCTGCCACAAAAAGCCTCTCTGACGATGACTGTAAAGGCACCAATTCATGAATATAGAAGAATGATATTAGGAATCGTTACACTGATTTTTTTTCTCTAATCATTTTTTATTCTAACTCAGATCTCAAGGCCTCCAGCACATCTTACAAACAGGACAGGCTTTAGGTCCAGGGTTTTGTCCTGGGTTGGTGTCCATGTTTCTCTTTCGCTAGCCTGTAGAGTACCTTCCCACACCAAAGAGACTAGAACATATGGGTGAACACTCCGTACAGGCACCAGCACATCCTCTCTACACTCACTGAGCTGGGTGAATATTGACCTCTGCATTGGGCCCCACTGTCAGTTTGAGGAGAGTGCTCCTCTGTCCTAGCAGCAGCCTCACCCCAAATTCTGCCCTCTTTTAAAGCAGAGACATTCTGCAAAAACAAATAGAATGTGAAACCTGGGCAACTGAGTTTTAAGTAGAGCATTGACAGCTGGACAGTCCAGCAACAATGTCCACATCTGCTTTCCAGAATTTTACAAACTATAGTAACTTACCCACCTTTAAACCTTGGCTAACTTGGAATACTAAAAATTGCAGTATTCTACGATGAGTTATCTGCCTAGTATCCTTTGTCATATACTGAAGGCATTTTCCAGCCATTGAGCTTGAAAACAGTGCTTTAGCCAAAATAACAAAAAGTATTCTCTCATTGTCTGCCTTAGTCATATGAATATACAAGTGAATATACCCAAGAATTTTCATTCTTAGAGGTAGAAGTGCTGACCCGAAGCTAACATCTATATAAAACTCAGAAAGCATTTCATCCTGAACCATTTGACTTTTCTCCCATCAGGTATGAGAATGCTTGTTTCTCTGCCATTCCCCAAACCTTGAATTTTGACAAATATTTAAACTCTTATCTAATTAATTTTTTAAAAGGCTATTGTGTTGGTATTTTGACATGCATTTAATTTGTGAATAAACTTAACAGTCTTTACCTAAAGGAGACAGATCCCCACCACATCCTCTGACATGTTCGCTCTCCCATTGCTCTCATTCTGGTTGCCTCTTTCACTTGATATTTTCCATTTTTTCCTCCACTGAGAATCAAACAGTATCTGATCCAGAGCATCCATGGCTTTTTTAATCTCTCCAAATCACACAGTGTATGCTACAAGCCTATATACTCGGCCCTTTTTTAATCACCTTATCATCTCAATATAGAAATAAAAAGTTCATCTCCAGGCCTAAAATATGTATATAGGCATTTTAATGTTATCATATATGTAATATGAATATATACTAAGGAATTTCCAAATTATAAAACCATGGGCACTTAAGAATTTCACATTTAATATCCAAAAAGCCTTTAGCTCTGAGTCATCTGAAAGATATGTCTACAAAATTTACTTTTAAAATAAAACAAATATGTTATCAAAGTGGATAAAAAAATTTGATTCGTTTAGTTGATTTTGAACAACAGATATATGAGAGGAAGATGATGAAATACATCTATTTGGCCTGGAGCAAGCACATTTTGGTTTTTTAAGTTCTGGCATTATAATAACTATATTACTTTCCTCCCTTCAATCCCCTCCATGTATTACAAATTCCTGGCTTCTTTATTTCATTGTTTCTGCACATATACATACATATATACTCACACACATATATGTACACACATACATATATGTACATATATATTCATTTATATTCTTAAATATATATATGCAACCTGCTCAGCCCATGTAATGTTACTAATATGCATATGATTTCAGGGCTGACCACTTGGTATTGGATCACCAACTGGGGGACTCTTCCCTGGAGAAGACTATTTCTCCCTCTCTCAGAATTCTCCAGTAGACAAATAATTGCTATTTTACTTAAACTGTCTCCAAAGGTATGTTAGTCTTTCATATGACTTTGTCAATTGAATACTGCTTATTCTAAATCAGAGTTTCTCATTACTCTCCAATTTCAGATAGCATGACGGTTGTCAGAGCCAACAGAGGCAATGGATGGAGCAAACCACTCTGTAGTATCTGAGTTTGTCTTCCTGGGACTCTCCAACTCATGGACAATCCAAGTATTACTCTTCCTCTTTTCCTGTGTGTTCTACATGGCAAGTCTATTAGGAAATTTTCTCATTGTGCTAACTGTGACTTCAGACCCCCATTTACAGTCCCCTATGTACTTCCTATTAGCAAATCTTTCCTTTCTCGACTTGATATTTTGCTCCTCCACAGCACCAAAGATGATTTACGACCTTCTCAGAAGGCACAAAACCATCTCTTTTGGGGGCTGCATCACGCAGATCTTTTTTATCCATGCAGTTGGAGGCACTGAGATGCTACTGCTCATAGCCATGGCTTTTGACCGATATGTTGCCATATGCAGACCTTTGCACTACTTGACTATCATGAGTCCACAAAAGTGCATTTTGTTTTTAGTTGTTTCTTGGATTATTGGCTTCATCCACTCAGTGACTCAGCTGATTTTTGTAGTAGACTTACCCTTCTGCGGTCCTAATGAATTAGACAGCTTTTTCTGTGACCTTCCTCGGTTTATTAAACTGGCTTGTGTAGACACATACACCTTGGGATTCATGGTTACTGCCAATAGTGGGTTCATTTCTGTGGCTTCCTTTTTAATTCTGATCATGTCTTGCATATTTATTTTGATGACTGTGCAAAAGAAATCTTTGGGTAGTTTATCTAAAGCTCTCTCCACTCTGTCAGCTCATGTCATGGTGGTCATTTTGTTCTTTGGACCATTAATTTTCTTCTACATGTGGCCATTTCCAATATCTCATTTGGATAAATTTCTTGCCCTCTTTGATGCAGTTATTACCCCTTTTCTAAATCCAGTAATTTATACACTTAGGAATAAAGCTATGAAGTTGGCAATGAGAAGATTATGCAGTCAGTTTATTAATTACAATAAAATGTCTTAAATATATTGTAGATATATAAGCACACAAATTATACTAGAATTTCAGGTAGATATTGCTACATTTACTGTGTTTTATTTATCCAGAATATATTGTGTACTAAAATTTGATATGCTATCATTTGCTTTCCCCAAAAATGAAATACCAGCTAATAAATAGTTTCTGTAAGAGACATAATGGGCTAGAGAGAAGATTCAGTGTTTAGAACACTTAATGCTCTTAGATAGGACCAAGGTTAGGTTCCCAGCACCCACATGGAGGCTGACAACTGTCTGCAGTTCCAGTTTAAATGAACCAAATCACCTCTTCTAGCCTCTGCCAGAACCAAGATGCATGTGGTACACATACATTCCTGCAGGCAAATCACTCATACACATGAAACAAAACTATCATGATAAAAGAATGCATACTAAAAACTACAGCTGGTGTATGTCACTCTTCACCAATGATGTTATGTGGAGGTAATGGTGAATTCAATAATGATAAATGTTAAAGAATCTACTTATAAAATCCAGTATGTGGTTTTTAGTTATTTTTTTTTCAGAGACTGCTCATGTTTATTAACAAAAGGGACAATCCCACATATCCATCCACAAGTACATTTAGAAACCTTAGAACTGACAATGATCACCCCTTCCAACACCCCGCTCTCTAGGACCCACCCTAAACTTAGTTTGGGCCCTTCAAAAGTACTGCCTGGGATGTACTCTCTGCTTTTCATGTTCTCCATCCACTTGTCCCATTGTCTCCAAGACTCTGCTCAGTCACTCAGGTCTAGACCAAAATCTGGATATAACTCCTTGATGGTGACACCTCGGGTCAGAGCCAGCTTTCCCAGCAGCATCTGTGCCACATCCTTGATGTCATTGTACTCATGGAGAAGAGAGATGTGGCCCTCTAGCTCACCCACACGGTAGCCTTCTTTTACTAACTGGGAAATCTCCTTGTCCAGCATCTCCTTTTTCTCCTTCAGTTTCTGAATGTCAGAGTTCAAAGTTTCCTCACTAATCTCATCATCCTCTTCCAAACTGGGAGATGAACACGGTGATCGGAAGGCTCCATAGCAACTTCGGCCGAATCCTAAGTCAGCCCTCCTGAACCCTGAGGTCCGAGGTACCCGGAGCGGGGTCGTCTTTTGCGAAGAAGGGTCCAGGGTTGGAGTTAGACGGATGCCTCAGATAACCAGAAATCAGCAATGGAGACCACCAACCGACTTCGGTTTTTAGTTATTTATTTTACAGTCTTGAGATTATTTTCAAATTTAATTCTTACTTGTAGTTTCTACTTCATCTGATTTTTCTACTATTCTGATGATTTATTTTCTGCCCCTTCAGTCTTTTGTTTATCAACCAGTTATTTGGCTTCCAAAAAGACCAGTAAGAATGAAACTGCATCTTTTTTTTTTTTTTTTTTGAAAAGGCAAATTTTATTATAAAGAACCATTGGCTAGATATAAAACTATGCTGAATGGCTTTCAGGGAAAGCTGTTGCTTCAGATGAGTTTCCAGCAGCACAGACGAGACCAGAGAGAGCTCACAGCACAGACGAGACCAGAGAGAGCTCACAATGGTAAAGGAGACTTTCATGGTTAAACTCCACTTCTAAACAGTTCAGTTTCCAAGCAAAACTAAACAAAAACCAGGAGATGGAAAGGAAAAAAAACAAAGTGATATAATGAGGATGCAGCCTCTTCTCAAATTTAGTCTTTCCCTTTATATTCAGTATTTTTCTTCTCATGAAGCTAACTTTCTCTGTTAAGATCATCAGATCACTCATTACACGTTACACAGTGAGGTGCTTCCCAATTCTAGAATCACCAATAAAAACCTTTTTAACAAATATTAATAGTTATTTGGAAAAGACATAAATATGATCACAGAAGTGGCAATTTTAGGAAGGCAGGAAACAGAGCGCACACATGGAAATAGCAAAATAAATAAGGAGAGAATATCAGAGTTTTTGTTTTGGGGGTTGTTTCTTATTGGGTTTTTGGTGGGGGGGTTGTTTTTTCTTTTTTGAGACAGGGTCTTCCTATGTATCTCTGTCTGTCCTAGAACTCACTATGTATACCTGGCTGCACTCCAACTCACATAGATCCTCCTGCCTCTGTCTCCTGAGTGTTGGGATTAAAGGCATGCCTTGCTAATGGATTCTTATCTTTTTTTTAGCTTTCTGGTTTGTCCTAGTGAATCCCTTCTTATTGCTATTAACTGTACATTTAGTAGTATTGTTATTTTGCTACATTTTAATTTTTAGATTTATGTACTATTCCCTACACAAATTCATGTCACAAAGTAGAAAGAAAGCCTAGGGAGAAGGAAAGAGACAGAAAGTGTGGGAGACAGAAAGTGGGTAGTAACAAGGGGGTAAATACAGTCACAGTCTTTAATATAGTATAAGAAATTGCCTATAGCTCTTCCGCCAGCCATTGGCTAGAGGAGACCTGCCTATCCACGTGGGACCACTCCTCTGCTGGAGTCCCGGGCCCCTCCCAAGATCCCCCTATCTCTACGGGTCCACTCTGAGTTCCCGCAGGCAAGATCCTTGACCCCCAAAGCAGGGTCTCTACTAAAGAAAGAGGCCTCAGCTGGAGAATTCCAGTTCCCAGTGAGATCCGACTATCATTGCAGAATCATCCCGAGTATCAGCCTAGCCTTTGTCCTCTTCCACCAGCAATTGGCTAGAGCCATTAGCTAGAGTCCACACTACTTCGGGGGACTTCTCCGAGCGACTTTGAACACAGGAGACCTGCCTATCCATGCGGAACCACCCATAATTCCCACCTGCTTGGTCTCTGACCCCCACCAACAGTCCTCTGCTGGAGTTCCGAGCCCCTCCCAGAGACCCACCTATCTCTGCGGGACCACTCTGAGTTTCTGCAGGCATCTTCTACTGGATCCTCATCCCTGACCCCATACCTGGGCCCCTGTCTGCAGAGAGACCTCCTCCTATAGAGCTGGGACCACCCAGAGCTACAGATATTGAACCTCTGACCCACATAAGCCCACCGGGGAAGTACCATAGAGAGAGGGGGAGACCCCACCAACACCTACTGGAATAAGCTATGGGAAGACGGCAATACAAGAGAACACCTAACAACAGAAAGACAGGCATGACACTACCAGAATGTAGGGAATCTACACCAACTAAAAAGGAACACAAAAACAAAGCAGAGGAAGCAGAAGGGAATGACTTAAAAATTACCATCATAACTGCAGAATTCTACCAGACATTCAAGGAAGAACTAATACCACTACTCCTCAAACTGTTCCACAAAATAAAAACAGAAGGTTCATTGCCAAACTCTTTTTATGAGGCCACAATAACCTTGGTACCCAAGCCTCACAAAGACACAACTAAGAAAGAAAACTACAGACCAATATCCCTGATGAACATCGATACAAAAATACTCAATAAAATACTGGCAAACCGAACTCAAGAATACATCAGAGAAATCATCCACCATGACCAAGTAGGCTTCATCCCTGGAATGCAGGGATGGTTTAACATACGAAAATCTATCAACGTGATCCACCATATAAACAAACTGAAAAAGAAAAACCATATGATTATCTCCCTAGATGCGGAAAAAGCCTTCGACAAAATTCAACACCCTTTCATGATAAAGGTCTTGGAGAGAGCAGAGATTACAGGAACATACCTAAACATAGTAAGAGCAATATACAGCAAACCAACTGCCAACGTCAAACTGAATGGAGAGAAACTTAAGCCAATTCCTCTAAAATCAGGAACAAGACAAGGCTACCCTCTCTCTCCATATGTCTTCAATATTGTACTGGAAGTTCTAGCTAAAGCTATAAGACAACAAAAGGAGTTCAAGGGGATCCTTGTGAGAGGGCAGAGAGGGTAAATGTGAGGGAGAGAGGGAGGGAGGAAGGGAGGAAGAAGGAACTGGGATCAACGTGTAAGATAATAAATTAAATAAAAAAAAGAAATTTAAAAAAAAAGAAATTGCCCATATGAGAACTATGGAGGTTATGAGAGATTACAGAATTTCAGAGTTACATAATTCAACCTTGGTGTTTGCCAACAGATAAATGGATTTAAAAAGAAATCTTGCTTTATATATTCAGAGTAGAGATTTATTTAGCCATAAAGAAAATTAAATTATGTAATTTACTGGGAAATAGATGTAACTGAGCATCATCATATTAGAGAAAAAGTCAAACATAGAATGTCAAAAGACAAATATCAATATCACGTGTTTTCTCTCATTTTCAGGTGATAGAGTTCTTCATATACACATAAATTAATACACATGTCTGTGTAAGCATTTGTGTGTATGTATGCACATGAATGTGCATGAGTTTATGTGTGTGCCTACTTGGATGTGTGTGTGTGTGTGAGTGTGTGTGTATGTGTGCAGTGTGTGAGTATGTTTATGTGTGTTTATGTATTGTGGGTGTGCATGTTTTTGTAAATATATATACACATGTAAATACATGTGTTCATGTATGTGGGGGTACATAGGTGTTTGCATGTGTGTGCACATGCAGAAATTTGAGTATATGTTCATGTGTGTGTGAGTATGTGTCTCTGTGTACTTGTGTGGTATGTATGTATGCATGAGTGTGTGAGTGTGTATATGTGCATGTGCACGTGTGTGTATGTGTTTAGTAAATTAATGGCTGTAGATTCTCCTCCAATAACCATGACTTCAGTAGCACTCATTAGTTATCTAGGTTTCCAGTATCAGACATGATTCCCCTCTTGTTTTGCAGGTCTTAAGGCAAATTAGAGAGCTTTCAGTTGTCACCTAAGACATGTGTACCACTACTGCACCCTTAGGGTTATCATAACATTCTGCTGATTGATGTAGTTTGTAGGTATCATAGCTTTTTAAACATCAGTGTTAAGAGTAGGTTTTTTTCTGCCGGCCTGGTCCCACCACTGTGCCAGCCCCAAATAACTCACAGAGATGCTATATTAGATATAATGCTATTGGCCAGTTACTAGTATTTCTTTATATATTAGATATAATTCTATTGGCCAGTTACTAGTATTTCTTATTGGCTAGCTCTGCCTTAAATATTAACCTATGTCTATTAATCTAAGTATTTCCACATGATCTCATCTTACTTCTGCTCTCTCCATCCTCCATCTTGAATCTCCTCCCTACTACTTTTGAAATCAATCCTCCTTGTCTCCTAATCCCGCCTATCTTGCTTTGCTTTCCTATTGGCCAACAGTGCTTTATTCATTAACCAATATGAGAAACATATTTACAGAATGGCATCTGCCATCACATCAGAGTGAATATGTTCTCTATGGTCATATTATTCCTGCCTCCAAATATCAGGTACAGTGAGGGACTTTGAAGGTATTTGAACAAATAAATCCATTTGGTAAAGGGAACAAATATGAGCTGGATACCCTTAATAGTAGAACAAAGTTTCTCTGCAAGACACAAATTAAGTTAGACGAAACCTTTACTTACATATATATTACAATGTATTAAACTCATAATTTATATGTCATTTTAGGATAATTTAAAATATTCTTGTAGTGATTTAACTTGTGTAGTTCATGAATGCATAAGGAAAATCCTGTTTTCAAGGATGCTGACATTTCTATGAGTTTCTTGGAAACCGAATATTACAAGGTATCTAAGGAATATTTGGATTAATTGTTATAGGGTTTAAATTGACAAATGGTAAAATTGATTTCTGTGCAGATTCTGGCATTGTCTTGCTCTCCTGTGACCCATTATTAACATTCCCCTTGTTGCCTTGACCAAAATGAATGTGTTAGAGAAGACAATTTCCTTGGTTAATTTATTGACTTTAGTTCTGCAGGACCTCATCATTGTAGGTTGATCTGATCACTATCCTTACCACAGTGAACTAGCTGAGTTTTCTTTTCATAAAACTATTTTGTATACCACCATGCTTGAAGTAATAACCTTTGAGTAGCCACAAAGGAAGGATGCCATGAAGTTCACAACAGGAAGACATTATGCTAAATAAGCTTCAGCAGCAAGGAAGACTTGGGTAACAGCTTGCTTTTTGCATACATTAAGGTTTGGTCTGTGGACAGGAAGAAATTGGGTGGTGGGAGGAAGGATGATCAGAAGAGCAACTGTGAGTCTTTGTGGTAATAGAAACAAGATATTATCTTCACTAAAGTCACTTACAGGATCACGATTCATCTCAGGTGCACTGCAGTATGGTCGTCACCTGGTTCAGCTCAGGACTGGACTAGGATGCAGGCTAGTAACTACATCTGTGGCTCTTTAGGGAAATCATTATCACTGAAAATAAAGACAAATACCCTTACCTCCTTCAAAAGAAATCTGTTGTTTACTTTTCTTTAGAGAAGAGCTAAGACATGAAGAGAAAATTCATAAGTGACAAGTGCAGTTTAAAAGAATTTTAAAAAAAAATGCCAATGTCCTATGAGAATGTGGTACACAGTGACTGAAAATGTACTATTGGAGGTACTAAAATCATGCAGGATCAGCCAAAATTGCATGATGGAAGAAAGAAAAGTATCTAGAAAAGTAAATTTATAATGTTTAAATGTCACCTGATCAATCTTCTTGTTTTAAAATACTTATCATAATTTTTCTTGGCTAACTCAAAGAGAATGGGAGTCATCAGGTAGCAGTAACAAAGAAAGAAGGACAGAAAATGGATCCTATGAGTAAAAGCCAAAGGAACCCAGAGGATTAATACCAAAGGATGGGGAGCTGCTTTCACAGTGTATGGCCATTCACTGGAACATGAACGCCTGCCAGTGGCCAAGTGAATATGATCAAAAATATTTGTATACATATAGTAAGAAAATTATTAATCATAAAAATTATTGTAATAGCTGAATGGTACAGAGAAGTGATTTTATTTGTGTTTACCAACTTCAAGGCTATTAACTACTGAAAGACTCACAGGCTTGCTCTTCACGTCCATAGCAGAAGTGAGCTTACATTCATGGGCAAATTCTCCATGTCCATAGCAGGAGAACCGAGCATACCCTAGCTCTAGGAAGAGCACAAATGTTTCCCTTACACAAAGAAGAACTTTAGGATTGCTGTATTAGTAAAATAACAAAAGCAAAACAGGAAGCAAACTAATCTTCAAACCTTGTAAACTGAAGGAAACATTGTGTCCCAGATGTAAAACTAAAGGGAACAGTCTTGAAACATATTTTGGTCCTCTGATTCAGTAATTTCATCACTTGGTAATGAGCATCACATTTTTTTCCAATTTTTCTGTAAGTCTGGTTACAATTAATCTTTTCTAAAGTGTTGTTCAATTCCATATAAATGAAGGCAGAATACCCCTGACAAGCAATAGTCACAGAAGAGGACACACTGGTTCCAGGAGTGTGGAAAAGGGAAGAAGCACTCATCCAAGATAATTTAATAGGGTTCCCTTCTTTCAGCAATGTATGCAAGGCTGGGGACTGCAATGCATTAGCCTAAAACGACACAGCTGTGCTGGTGAATGCTGGCAGGGGATTGTTTGGGTGTGCTGCTGTTTTTAAGAGCTTCCCTTGAACTTCCCTTCTGCCATCTCTTCTCTGTGTCATAATGTTTAACCTCACTGGCCATATCCATTCCCTGCCACATTCAATTATTTAGTTCCCCTTTTTCCGTCTTATTCCAAATCTCCCATCTAATCCTTTTCTCTTTTTAAAGATATATTTAATTGCCTAGGCTTTACCTTTTTTATAGATTTTATATGGAGTATCATATTTCCGTCTTTAAATGACCCCATAGACATCCTAATTTTTATCTTGTCCTTATGAACAGTTGAGTGTCTTTTTTTTTTTTCAGCTGTTGTGATTTGTCCTTTTTCTCAAACACTCTCTATACAGCCCAGCTGGCTGTAACTCACTGTGGAGCATAGTCTGGACTGAACCTAGTAGCAAGCCTCCTGCCTCTGCCTCCCAAGTAATGAGAACACAGATGTATATCGCCACTTCCAATTCTTTTTGGGGGGAGAGGTTGTAATCCAAATTTCAATTTGTAAAAGCACCTCAAATGCTCCCACTTCACAGTATATTTTCACTGTGCTTATTTCACACAAGACTTTTTTTTAAGTAAAAGTAATCACAAGGAATTCTTTTGAGGCTTTTAAATTTCCCATATTTAGGAAAGTTTTGATTCTTTTATAGCACATCACATAGAAGCTTGAATAGAAATTATAAATTAGTTTTTAATTTTTTGAGAAAATACTATATTTACATCATTTCCTTTCTCCCCACCTATTATCTTTCAAATTAATGGCCTCTTTTTATTTACTACATATACATATAATATACATATGCATATATACATACATACATATGTATGTGTGTGTGTATATATATATATATATATATATATATATATATATATTCCTAAATACATAAGTACAACCTGCTTAGTCCATACAATGTTACTTGTTTGTATGTGTTTTCAAGGATGACTCTTTGATATTCAGTTGATATGCTCTTCACTGAGAAAGACTATTTCTCCTGCTCTCAGCATTTCTTAGTTGTATATAGTTCTATTGTACAGTTGAGGCAGCAGGAGCTTTCCCTTCTCCACATTAACAAGTCTAATGATATAATCCTTGTTCAGTTCACATTAGGCAGCCACGTTGGTGAAAATTCATGGATGTAGCTTCTGACATTTCTAGTAGCCACGGTCTCACAAAAAAACTCCCTGTTCCTCTGGCTTATACAATTTTTTTGCCCTGTCTTCCACAATGATCCTTGAGCCTCAGGTGCAGGATTTGTACTGTGTCGATTGCAACTGAGCTCCACAACTCTGCATTTTGATTAGTTGTGAGTTTCTGTAATAGTCTCCACCAGTCCCAATGAAGTTTCTTTGATGAAAGGACATTAGAAAGAGATGTGAGCAACACTCAATGAAAACAACACAGAGAATCCAAGAATCTAAGAGCTGGTTCTTTTTTTTTTTTTTTTCTTATTTTACATATTGATCCCAGTTTCCTCTTGCTCCCATCTTCCCATTCCCCCCCAACCCCCATCCCATCCCATACCCACCTACTCCACAGAGAAGGTGATGCCTTCCAGTAGGAATCATCAAAATCTGTCAAGTCATTTGGAGTAGGGTCTAGGCCCTCCCTCCTATCTCTAGGCTAAGGGAGTATCCCTCCATGGGAAATGTTCTCCCAAAGTCCTTTCCTGCACCAGGAATGTATCCTGGTTCAACTGTCAGAGGTCCCTTAGACTGCCCAGGCCTTCTAATTGAGACCCATGTTCAGGGGTTCTGAGTTGGTCCAATGCTATTTTTCCAGCTATCAGTCTAGGGGTCCATGGGCTCCCCCTTGTTCAGGTCACCTGTCTCTGTAGGTTTATGTAACCTGGTCTTGACACCTTTTCTTATCACTTCTCCTTGTCTGCAACTGGATTCCAGGATTCGGCTCAGTGTTTATCTGTGGGTGTATGCTTCTGTTTCCAACAACTGCTAAATGAAGGTTCGAAGATAGCATATAAGTTAGTTATCAACTCATTATCAGGGAAGGATATTTAAGGTGGCCCAAGAACTGGTTCTTAAACAGGATTTACAAACCCTTAACCCACTAAAAAGAAAGAGACAACCAACTTAACAGAATAAAGTGGTTTTATAAAGCTTTTAGAATTGTTCTCATAGCCATTGTGTGCACCTTCAACTTCCTATACCATTGAATTATTCCACATAATAGCTAGGTTTTTCACCATTCTGTTATCTCCAAGATTTATCATATTGCTAGAGATTTTGTAGATTGCACATACATGTTTGTTGAATGAGTAAGTAAACATCCAAAGAAACCTACCTAGTGTTGCTTATGGGTTGATTTTTCAGTCATTAAAAAAAAAGTCATGGAACATGACACCTGCCCCCAAGTTTTATAAATGTAAGTGGGGATATCAACTCACAATTATTAAACAAAGACCTTGAAAAATAAAGTATGTAATAGAAGCTATACACTTAAGAATTTAGATAAAAAGAAGTCATAATACCTACCAGTGATTTTTTCTAAGATAAGCAGGGGGTTTGAGATGTTCCCGGTAATTATAGTTCCTTCCTTCTGAAAAAGGAAGATCTAATATTAAAAATGTATTTTTTCTATATTGAATATGAATTCTATAAATCTAAGAATTCATGTCAGTGTTATACCTGAGACCGCTGGAATCTAGCACTCTGGGTGTTCAAAGTACTTAGTGCCTTAACAATGTCTCTGATAACATGTTGGTTGACTGACTACCACTGACTCATCACTGATGCCCTTTCATTGTCCATCTTATATGTTAGTGGAGTCAGAAACAATTGATGTATATGCATAGGGCATAAGACAAGATGCACTATATATTCTTCAACCTTCAATATCCTTTTTTAATATCCTGACAAGGTACCTCAAATCCAAAGTGTCTGACTCATTGCTTCCTTGTAAAATTGTCATTACCCCTATTAAAATAGTGTAGCATAGAGAATAATGCCCCTCAAGGATGCTTATGTCCTCAACACAGATCTGTGAATATTATCTTATGGAAAAGGCAACCTTGTGAATAAAATTGATTCAAGAATGAATTTTAAGATTTAAGATTATCATTAATCTGTTTAATGTGATTCCAGTGATAATTATAAGAGAACACAGAAGAGTCAAAGTGAGAGAGAAGGTTAGAGGATTAGGAGTAGATGCTGCAATTGTGGGGCCCTAAACCCAGAAATGCATGCAGTCTTTAGAAGCTGGAACTGACAGGGAAACAGATATAGATTCTCTTCTGGAAACTTCAGAAGGAATAAGTCTCTGGAGATAATTGAATTTTACATTCAAAGATTCACATCAGTTTTCCTGCTTCTAAAACTGTGTGTTGTGTTAGGCAAGGATGAGGAGGTAGGTGAATGATGTGGGGGGTTAGGACAGTAGACTGAGACCAGGATAGCTGTCCTAAGCCACAAAATTTGTGACCAGTTCTTACAACAGTGATCAAAAATCAATATAAAAACTACTTATTGAGCTAAAGAAATAGCTCAATAATTTTAGAAAACATACACAAGAACCTGGGTTTGATCCCCAGGAGTGCTAAGTAAATAAAAAAAGAGCTGAAAAGCTGTGTATTATAAAGAATGATTAGTAAGAGCCTGGAGATCTTGGTGTTTGTGTAAAGTTTCATGATACTTGGTGATAATTATTTTTGTATAGGTCACCTCACTGCCCACCTGCAGCACCTGTTCCTTGTCCCTAAACAACTACTGTCCTCTTCTACCCATGCTGTGACCTGACCACTGTCCTTTGTTGCTTCTGTGCTTTATAACTCAGCAACCACACTGTCCCCAAGCACACACACAGACAATCTGCCTATTTCCTCCCAGTATTTTATTTGCCATTCTTTTACCCAATTCAAGTTTATGTTGAAAACATGTAAATTTTATATGAGGTATTTCTTGCCTTTGGGAGTCAAGTGGATGTGCAGATCTATAATAGAGGGTGTTTTTAATACCAGCCCATAACCCTTTAGACCACAAACAGACTTTATTGAAAGTGAATAATGGCCCCATTTTGAAACGTTAGATGCCTTTTATTGACTTTTTTAAATTAGTGGCTGAGGCTTCCTAATTATTTTTACAACAGAATTTTCCCGTACAACTTTTCTCTGTGTAGTTAAACAAGTACAGGAATGACCTTTGGATCTTGTAATAGCCGTTAATTGGCATGCTATTTACATACTATTGGTTTGATGCCAACTGACTATTGGTTTGATACACTCCTAAATGTCAGCCCTCAGTCCCAAGAATTTATCCCTTCATTCAGCAAGTGTGAAGCACTTGTCATCAGGCTTTTTGAGTCCTTGTTAGTGACATGATAGTGGCAGAAGCTACACATGGGAACCAAACATGATTTTCATATCAAATTAAACTGTTTTATTTTGCACTTCCAGGGATCAAACATAGGCTTCACACATGCTAAGAGAGTACTCTACCACTGGGCAACACCTCCAGAAAGAAGCTACATTTCAGTTCAAGACATGGACATTTATACAATTATGAATGACAAAGTGAACTAAATACTAACATTAGTTAGGTCTTCATTATCACTGCAATGAAACACAATGATCTAAAGCAAGTTGGGGAAGAAATGATTTATTTTGCTTACACTTCCACATCACTGTTCATCATCAAAGTCAGGACAGAAAATTAAACAGGGCAGGAACCTGGAGGCAGGAGCTGATATAGAAGCATTGGAGGAGTGCTGCTTGCTGGCTTGTTCTTCAATGGCTTGTTCAATCTGCTTTCTGATAGAACCCAGGACCACCCAATGATCACTAATTAGGACAATGCCCTATATGCTTGCCTAGTCTTAATGGAGGCATTTTCTCAATTGAGGTTCCCTCCACTCAGATGACTCTATCTTGGGTCAAGCTGACATAAAAATAACCAAGACAAAAGCATTGAGTGTTATGAAGACTCCCTCAGAATGTGATGTCACAAATAAGTGCATGTTTACCAGGATTTTGAGAATTAGACTTTGTGTATTACATCATACAATGACAGACATTTTGGAAGTCAAAGAAAAAAAAGAAATGTTTACAGTTGAATTGAATAATAAAAAATAAGTGGAGAGACTTTTAGAGCTATATATGGTACATATTGTTAGGTGGCTCATATGAATAGCTGAAATCATATCAATTCATAGGAATGTGGTCAAAGGGATTTAAAAATGACCTTTTTTTGTCATCCAGATAGAATATCCTGGACAAGAGGAAATGGAAAATACCCACTTAATATTAAACAACAACAGAGAACAAATTGGTCCAGAGGTAGAAATTATTTAGTGGTAGTAGCTTTGAAAACTATGACACCATGTGGAAATCAACTAGCCCAACCAAGAGGAAGCCTATGCACATGTGATTAAGTGTTTTCCTGTGTGTAATGTTAATGTAATAATTACTTCCCTGGTTGAAGGCTTTCTTTCTCGAACACTAGCTCTTGCCTAAGTAAGCTGTTCTCATTTCCATTCTTCCCTCAGCAAAGAAGAGTGCTGAGTCCAACATCTGGAGTGATGTATGGAACGAATCGCTCTGTGGTATCCGAGTTTGTGTTCCTCTGGATCACTAATATATGGGAAATTCAGTTTTCACTTTTTGTCTTCACCTTGCTGTTCTACTCTGCAAGCATGATTGGCAACCTTGTCATTGTGCTCACTGTAACCTTGGATGCTCATCTAAACTCCCCCCTGTACTTTCTCTTGGCTAATCTCTCAGTCATTGATATGATATTCTGCTCAATCCCAGCCCCTAAGATGATCTGTGACATTTTTAAGAAACACAAAAGCATCTCGTTCTGGGGGTGTATAACTCAGATCTTCTTCAGTCATGCAGTTGGGGGCACTGAGATGGTGCTGCTCATAGCGATGGCTTTTGACAGATATGTAGCCATATGTAAGCCTCTGCACTATCTGATCATCATGAGCCCATGGGTGTGTCTATTCTTTTTAGTCACTTCCTGGGTCATTGGCCTTATTCACTCAGTGGTACAATTGGTGTTTGTGGCAGACTTGCCTTTCTGTGATCCTAATACGTTGGACAGTTTTTATTGTGACCTCCCCCAGCTCCTCAGACTTGCCTGCACAAACACTCAAGAGCTTGAGCTCATAGTCACTGTCAACAGTGGACACATTTCTGTGGGTTCCTTTTTTCTTACTGGTCATTTCCTATATTTTCATTCTGTTCACTGTTTGGAAACATTCTTCTGGTGGATTGTCGAAGGCCCTTTCCACTCTTTCAGCCCATGTCATTGTGGTCATCTTGTTCTTTTGGCCACTGATGTTTTTCTATACATGGCCATCACCAACATCACATCTGGATAAATATCTTGCTATTTTTGATGCATTTATCACTCCCTTTTTGAATCCAGTCATCTATACATTCAGGAACAAAGACATGAAAGTGGCACTGGGGAGACTTTGGAGCTATCTTAGGCACTACAGGAAAATGTCATAAAATGTTTTTCTGTGATGGTACAACTATAGATGCTCCATCATGGTCATTGCAGAATGTCACAGGCATTCCTAAGATTTATGTGATGCTGCATGCCCATAAACTGTGCCATTGGTTACACTATTAGAAATGGTGTTAATGATTGACACTCTGTAAAACAGAATAATAAGATCAATTCAGTGTCCTTTATAATTTACAATTCTAAAAGTCCATGATCTAGGGAAATTTCATAACATAAATCAAAGAATGATATTTTACCTCTTTCTATAGTAGAAAGACTATTCCATTAAAAGATAAATTGCAGTCACATGATCTTTAATCTGCTCACTATCTACCTTGATATTAAGTTTCTTGTTTTTAATATGTTTGTTTTCCCTTGTTCCAGTCTCTGTATATTTCACTCTTTATCATATTCCTCTGTATTACAGTCTGAGAAATTTTTGTCTTATGTGTAGAATATTAGAATTGAAAGTTGAAGTGATTGGCCAAAGCTATTTGTTCCAATCTCCTTAAGTTAAAATAAACAATACTTTTTACTTTCTTCTTTTTTCATATATTACATCTAGACTGCAATTTTCCCTCCCTTCATTCATTCCAGTTCTTCCTCACTTTTTGCCCCTTTCCTAGACACACTCCTCCCCCCATTTCCCTTCAGAAAAGAGCAAGCCTCCCAAGGATATCAACCAAAGATGGCATAACTAGTTCCAATAAGACTAGGCACATATCTGATGGGAGATGTCATTCTGTAAAATGTTTCTTATACTGGTTAATGAATAAAGCACCGTTGGCCAATAGGAAAGCAAGATAGGCGGGACTAGGAGACAAGGAGAAGAGAGGAAGTAGTAGGGAGATTCAAGATGGACAATGGAGAGAAAATGCCAGCCCCTCCCTCTGGTAAGATAAGACCACGTGGCAGTACTTAGATTAATAGAAATGGGTTAATATTTAAGACAGAGCTAGCCGATAAGAAACTAGTAACTGGCCAACAGAATTATATCTAATATAGAGTCTCTGTGTTATTTTGGGCTGGTACGGTAGTGGGACCAGACCGGAGGGGAAAAAACCTACCATAACAAACTGATGCCCACATGGCTAATAAAAACTTCCACTTAAAACTTAACAAAAGCTAAAAAAAAAGAAAAGGAAGGAAAGAAAGGAAAGGAAAGGAAAGGAAAGGAAAGGAAAGAGAAAACAAAAGCGTTTTAGAAACAAAAGAACAGAGAAAAGCAAGGCTTCTTGGTAATAGCACTTTTCTCAGTTGGACTCTGTTTTGCTGGAAACAAGCAGAGATTTGTACTGCTTCTTTAAGGGTTTCCTGACTCAGCATAAGCGGCAAAAAACCTTAAAGCTTTTAAAGAATTCTGCTAACAACTAAAGGTTGTATATGAGAGCTGGCAATGACAATGACCACATCTCCAAGCTGGCAACATGCCGCTGGGTGCAGCATAGACCAAGGCAGTAA